CAAGTTCCCCAGTCTCTTATCTCCCCCAGTTAAGATATCTGGGCTTGGACCCCCATTGCCTATCCCACCACATACATAACCTCCGTTGTCCCTCCATTAGCCTCCTCGGCCGCCTCCGACCCTCTTTATCGGAGACATACCGTTGGCTATCTATCTGTCTAGACTTGGCCAATCCAGGAGCTAACTGTAAAAGAGTCTAGGACATTCATCGAACGCTTGGGATCGCCATTAGTTAAAGACAGCTGCCTCCCGTCTGTCAATTCAGCTTTCAATCTCGAGCTTCGCAGCACGCCGATCACACTTGTCCTGTGGCTTTTGGGTTTTGCTCAATTTTTGAATACCTTTTTGTCACATAGTCATTGTCAACTCAATCTTCAAGATGGGTTGGATGGACAAGACCAACCGCAAGATTGCGGCCAGTCCTGTTGGACGTTGGTTCCAGCTCGAGGGTTCCGGTCATGTAAGTCAAATCGGCCACCTCCGATATCAACTTCATAGCTAATGTTCTCTCCAATTAGCCTCGTGAGCGCAAGGGCTCTCTATTTTTCACTGAGATCCGAGCTGGTCTCGCCACTTTTTTCGCCATGGCTTATATTATCGCTGTCAACTCTTCGATTGTTTCTGAATCTGGTGGTCCATGTGTTTGCCCTACTTACAAGGACGGCGCTTGCGTCCCTGATGAAGCCTACCAGCTCTGTGTTGCCGAGGTCAAGCGTGATGCAGTCACTGCTACTGCTGCCATTTCTGCTCTGGCTACTTTCTTCATGGGCCTGCTTGCCAACCTCCCCGTCGGTCTCGCTCCTGGTATGGGTCTCAACGCCTACTTCACCTACACAGTCGTTGGTCCCAGCGGCTCTGGTCCCGTCCCTTATGAGCTTGCTCTTACAGCCATCTTCATTGAAGGCTTCATCTTCTTCGGTCTTGCTCTCTTCGGTATGCGTCAATGGCTTGCTCGGGCCATCCCCCGCTGCATCAAGCTCGCCACCAGTGTCGGTATCGGTCTTTTCTTGACGCTTATCGGTCTCACTTACAGCGAGGGTATCGGTCTGATCGTTGGTGCCGTTTCCACCCCTATGGAACTCGCAGGTTGTGAGTCGCAATATCGGGACCCTGCCACCGGTCTGTGCCCTTCCTCGCAGAAGATGAGAAGCCCTACCCTATGGATCGGTATCTTCTGCGGCGGTATCTTCACCGTGTTGCTCATGATGTACCGCGTCAAGGGTGCCATCATTGCTGGTATTCTGCTTGTCAGCATCATCTCCTGGCCACGAGACACCCCTGTGTCATATTTCCCCTATGACGCCCTTGGTGACGATCGATTCAACTTCTTCAAGAAGGTTGTCGATTTCCATGAGATTAAGAAGACCCTAAACGTCCTCCAGTTTAACATTTCTGGCCACAGTGGTCAGTTCGGTCTTGCGCTTATCACCTTCTTGTATGTCGACATCCTGGACTGTACCGGCACTCTGTATGGTATGGCTCGTTTTGCCAACCTCGTCGATCCCGTTACCCAGGACTTTGAAGGCTCTTCGATTGCCTACATGGTTGATGCCCTCAGTATTTCTATTGGCGCTGTTTTTGGTGTTCCCCCTGTCACTGCCTTTGTCGAGTCTGGTGCCGGTATTTCTGAGGGTGGAAAGACTGGTCTGACCGCCATGGTTGCCGGAATTTGCTTCTTTATTTCCATCTTCTTTGCGCCCATTTTTGCTTCCATCCCTCCTTGGGCCACCGGCTGCGTTCTGATTCTTGTTGGTTCCATGATGGTTGGCGCGGTTACTGAGATCAACTGGCGTTACATGGGTGATGCCGTTCCTGCCTTCCTCACCATTGCCATCATGCCTTTTGCGTACTCCATTGCCGATGGTCTGATTGCTGGTATCTGCACATATATTTTGATCAACACCGTCGTTTTGGTTATCAAGGTTGTTTCCGGTGGTCGTATTGTGCCCCCCAACTATGAGGAGAGAGACGGGTGGACTTGGCGCATTCCTGGTGGTTTCTTGCCCCCTTGGTTGAACCGTCTGGCCCACGGAAAGAAGGACTTTTGGCGTGAGGATTTCCCTCCTGCTGCCAACGACACAACCTTGAACCAAAATGCCGTGCCTGAGGAGACTGGATCTGATCATGGTGGATCTGAGGGCGGTAAGGTGCCTGAGACTACTCTTCCCCGTGAGAAGGAGACTTAAGAGGATATGGCAGAGATTATGGTTACTTCAAAATGTTAGTATGTTGAGTGGAACGTAGGAGGATCTGGAAGATGCGATACCCAAGAAAACAATTACATGATGATGTTCTGTTTGATATACTCGACATGTCCCTGTAAGTGATGTCTCGAAAAGATGTGTCGCCCCGACTTCCAGCTGCACCGCCAATTCAGAGTCCATTAGTCCCTAGCCCGGTTTCTCGGAGTTGTTGAGATTCGACTTACCGAACGCGTACATGTCTGGGAAGTGCCGGGTGACACTGGTGTAAGTAGCATATCATGGTGTACGTAGACGATCCGTTGCATTGTGTTCTGGGAACTGAATACAGAGCGGACAATACACAATCAGATACGCGCGTATGGTGAAACGAGTAGCACCAAAGCCTTCGTGTTTTCATATCTGAGAAACTGTCAAACAAGGCGTATCTACAGCTGGGTTTCACTCGAGTTTAACACAAATGAGCCTCATCCCACAGCCTGTATCCTGTCCTCATAGCAAGTCGTCTTTGAGATCTTCAAGTCATAAATCATCGCTCTTTGCTGAATAGTATCGCTCGTTAAGCCATCAAAGCAATGTGCTTCAGTTCCCTAAGACATGGATTAGCATCGATCGTCAGTGTTTAGAGAGGTCAACGTACTCCTGCACTTGGTGTCCAACTTTCATGGGAGGATACTCAACCTCTCGTCCCTCGTCTCTTCCAAGCTCTTTCTGTCGCTCTCTAACTTCCTTTGCCCTGGCTACGAGCTTGGGAACGGGGTTGAGATCAACGTCACTGCCGAGATGCCAGAATAAGGTACTCGAGATTCTGACCAGAGGTCTGTCTGGGAAGTCACGCTTCCTCTTCTCAATGGTTTCAATGGTCTTTTCATTCACGATAACCTCGTGGAAGCCAGCTTTGATGAGACCACCAGTGATGTGTTCGATCTGCTTGCCCGCTTGGACGAGAAGGTAGTTTCCTGGTGGGATCTTGACGGCAATGCGGTTGCCCGTGTTGCGTGCCCAGATGTGAAGACCAGGGTAGCGGGAGCGACCATGGATGGTGAGGAAGTTGAGATCTGTGTGGAAACCAGCCAGGATGGTGTTCTTCTCACCGTACTTGACCAGGTCTGAAGCTGTCGGGGCAAGAAGATGAGGTCTGTTTGCGCATGTGAGTTTTGGGGACTACTATGATGTTTTAAAGGGTACTTACCCGTATTTTCCAGCATCACTGAAGAACTGGGCTGGTAGATCCAGCCCAACGGCGGTCATCTCTGCCAGTTTCGATACGCTGTTCAGCCGGTCAGTATCAGGTATCCAAGAGAGGGGGTCCAGTGACATACGCGCTCTTCATGGAGGTCCCCCACTGGTTCATGGCTGGCTCCCATCGGTCTCTGATATGAGGGGCTTCAGGGACCACGTTCGGGGCGTTCAATCCAGGGAACTCGGTCTCAAAAGGGGGTTGCTCGCTCATTCTCCAGAAGAATCTGCACTTGGGGTCAGGCGAGTGAGCTGAGATATCCAACGGTCTTTGTGAAGGGTCGAGTCTCTGAATGACATCAAGGCATGGCTCATCAACAGCACACTTGGGCTTTTCAGTATTTTCTAGCGTGACGCCAATCTGATAGCTCAGCTCAGGTTTCTCATCTTTTCTGAGAACCTCTTCGGGTTGAGCAAAGTAATCTTCAAGAATGTCGAGGAAAGTTGAGTTATCCTCCTCCGAGACTCGGCTATCGTGGAGGACGAGAGCACCGTATGTGATGAGGGCGTTGGCAGCTTTTCTGCACTCTTCTTGAACGGCTTCTGAGTCGAGAGGGTTGTTTAGATAGACATCGAGATCAATCACGGGGAGATCCATGGATTGTTCTGCTGAAGCCATTTTATGAGGTTGTTCGTTTGGAGTGGCTGAGATACGATGACAGGTGAGAAAAGCAGATGTCGACACCACGATCAGCCCTTAAGTTATCCGGATTTCGCAGCAGAATATATATGAGAAAAAGGCAGAAAATGAGGATTCAGTGAAACAACAAAAATTCTTTTCTTGGTGTTCCACTTTGGGAAGTTGTTGCGGTTTGAATCTGTGTTCTTTGGGAGAAACGTCGATTACACGAGCTATGATTGGTCGGGAGCCTGTGGTCCAGAGACGGAGTTGGCCGGTCCCCGATAGAAACTGATCATGAGGAACGGACTTGGGCGGAATTGAACGGACTTGTCATGAGAATGTTACATTCAGACACTAATTGTACTATCTATTATATACGAACAACTAGTGAAAATAACCTCTTGCCATATTTGTATTCTTGGCCCGTATCTCCCGTGCAAGTGGAAAGTGAGCCAGTCAAGTTGGCCTAGCTATCATTCACTAGAACAGGCGTTAAGCGGATATAGGATATCCCAAGTAACAAACGTCCATCTCATGTTCAAACTGGAAGAACAATGTAAATAGGATAAGACTCTAGTAGTGACAGTCCATACCACGAGGCTCAGAATCAAGGTTGTCCAATGGTCTGCATGCCTGTGCTATATCATGACTATTCGATATCAGAGATGCACAAGGCCCATCAAGTCCACTGCAGCTCATTCCTTGTAAAATAAGATGCCTAAGCTAATCAACTTACCGTCTTTCAAGCCTATATTGTCAAGCTCATCATAAAAACACAAACATGACACAAACAAATGGTTCAAGGAATCTATTTCCATCTCACAAATAAACTCGCCAGGCCGTCGAGGCAATGCCCACCTCCGCTGGTAATATACACCTCTTTTCCCACCCAATCCTCCTCTCGCTCTCCGTAAATCTTAATCTCTCTCCCTCTTCTCTTACGAGCGCTCAGTCTCAAGTTCCCGCTCAGCCTGCTGGTAGTACTTGGCTGTATCAACACCATGCTGGTTATGGTTGACAAAGTTGAACCAAGGAATTGTGCTAAGGAACAGAGCAGAGTATCTGCTCTGTCGGGCAGCAACACCCTGAAGATGAGGGCTTAGCCGGCTGACGCCATATAGAGGCTCGCCCTTCTTGACCTTGTCGACCATCTCGCGCATATCCATCTCAATCTCGCGAGCGTTCTCGGTAGCACCGTAGAATCGGACTGTCCAGATTAGTTCACCCTGTCGATATATCATTCGGTGCTGTAGACGTACGAGCTGATCGCTGGTAGAAGTAGAGGAATCCACCCAAGAGACCAACACCACCAGCCAGTCGCATGGCCTTGGGGAAACCACCCTTTCCTACATGTGAGGGAGCGAATTTCTCGAGGGCGTAAAGAGCAGCAGGAGCGAAAGCAGCGGCGACGGTGCCGGCGATGTAATCGGATGTACGGGCATAGCCCACGACTCGCTTGAAGTGACTGCCGAGGATCAGCAAAGCTCAACCCAACTCCAAACCAGACAATTCGATCCTCCAAAGCATTTCAATCCATTCGTATCGTCATCGCCGGGTATCGGGGGGTTTCAGTTTACGTACGGATCGTTATCAATGAGCTATAACATCATCAGTTAGCAGCTGCAATTACTCCATCAATTGAAGCGTCACTTACGGGATACTCGGTCTGAACGACCTTGCTGGTCCCGACAAAGGACGGGGTCGACTGCTTTGTCGCTGTCTCAGCCATTGTGTGATGCGTCGTCCGTGGCAGTCAATTCCTTGAATACTATCACCAAGGCCTTTCGAGGTCGTCGGTTTCGGTACATTCAGAAGCTGGAGCCGGATTGAATGCCTGAGGATACAGATCACGTGCCTTGGTCAGCTCATCAAAGTTGGCGATGATTGGTCACGTGGGGAGTGGTGGGGTTGAGAATCAATTAAGCTCTCGACGCGTCTCCCCAATTCAAGACGCGTTAAGCAATTGAGTTCACCAGACTGTAGGTACAATCACAATACAAAATGCCTACACTAGACTCGGATCCCGCCAATGGGCTTGATAACTACGATGTTGACGACTTTTCCGACGACCCCTTTGCATCACCACCACCAGAAGCCGCCAACAAGAAGCGAAAAGAGCCAGATTCTGGCCTCGGTATTGACGAGGAGGTTGATGTCAAGAAAAGGGCTCGAGTCCCCAATGTGAAACTCGACGAAGAGAGGTATGGAAGTATAATACTATTTTGTCTCAAGTGATTCTGACAATACGTAGATTACTTGGACCCAAGGGTATTCCCAAGCTAAGGCAAAGGGCGAAGGATCTCAAGATCAAGGGCAAAGGCCATGAAGTATGCCACCATCTGCCAATTAGCACATTTCAAACATGTTAACATTCAGTTCAGTTCTCTGACGCCTCTCGGCTTCTATCCTTCTATCAACTATGGCTAGACGACCTCTTCCCCAAAGCCAAATTCCTCGACGCTCTTGCTATGGTCGAAAAGGCCGGCCACAAGAAACGAGTCATGATTGCACGAAACGATTACATAAACGAGAGCAAGCCCAAAGACAGAACTGGAGATGACGAGGAAGAGGATGACTTGTTTGGTGAAAACGATACATCAAGACCTACGGACCAGGAGGGTACGAGACCAGCAGAACCTGCAAGACCAAAAACACCAGAGCAAGACACAGGTGTACCGGACGATGACGATCTTTACGATGCTACACCACGAGCTGCAAGACGAAGCGCAGGGCCAATTGTCCCCATCCGCAACGACGTTCCAGAAGATGATGATTTCGAGGCTCTTATTGCCGAAGCAGCGAGCCACGACGCGGCTCAAAAAGCGAAGACAAACCCTACACCAGCAGAGCCAGATGACGATGACCTAGATGCACTCATGGCTGAGGCAGAAGTGCAAGATACAGCGAAGAAACCAGAAGCAGCACGGGTTGAACCGGATGACGATGATCTAGATGCGCTGATGGCGGAAGCTGAGAGTCATGATCAGACGAGCAAAGAGAAGAGTCAAGGGTCGAAAGATAAGGAGATGAACAATTTTGATGATGAAGAGGCGGCTATGCAAGAGATGGATGGGTTATGGTAAAGTTCCAAGAGGGATTATGATGGTTTGGCGTTGGGCGTATGGGTAAGCATGAGTTTCTGTCTCTGGACTTTGGTGGATGTCATTAAACATCAATTGGATCATATACCAAGCCACATGTTGTCTTCACATTGGCATTATTAGCTATTATCTTGTCAATCTCGAGAAATATCTTTGTTCGACTTCAAATGATACTAGAAGCCACCAGGCGGAAATGTAAAATGATCAAAGAAATCGAAATACAAATGGGACCAATGCTAAAACTAAGTTGAACAACTAGGGTGGAAGTATGAGGCTCCTCGCACTCAACATGCAAGTGTCATGTGCCATGACGACGTCAAACAGTGTCACAGCCCCCTGTCAACACTCAAGTCGATATTCAAAGTAAGGCAAGTATCACGACGATGGGACAAATATTGTTGGTCATTCGCTTCTTTGAGCGTTCATTGTATTGTTACACAAAAGATTTAACTGTTGGGCTTTATTGCCAGTCCCCCGTGGGACATTGATCCTTTGCGCCTTGCACCTATTTTTTCCCAAATCAAAACATTATCACATTACGGTAGGTCATCATGGATATAACTCTCATAATGTCTGTACCCGATTGTTCTCTTCCTCCAATATCACTGACAGAGCAGCCTTCTTGCTCGGTTGATGTACACGTAGTGGGGAGCGAGTCTCAGGGTCGAGGATCTCGCCAGATTCACGCTGAATTCGGGCCTCCTCTAAGCGGAGTGCCCAGAGGAGTGTCACCAACAGTTCACGCGACGGCAAAGTAATCTCGGATAAGCACCTTACCAACTCGTCTTGGCCGCGCGAATCCTCAGTCTCGCGCTCCGCATCCTCGACCCTGGAATCGCATCCCTCAGACACCAACCGCAATGCCACCAACGTCGCATCCATGAGAGGACGCGCCAGGGAGGGGCTGCTGGATAGGATTTTCCGAAGAGACCTGATTCTCAAGTTCGTAGATGCGGAACTCGTCGCTAAGGATCGCAGCGGCGTCGTCGGTTGGCTTAGGGAGCTCGACCGAGATGCCATTGTCCGTGTCGTTGATGAAGGTGTTGTACAATTCGTCGTTGAAGCTGTCGTCGAGGGTGAACGAAGACGTGTCAAAGTCCAGATAAGGCTCGTCAGTAGCTGAGGAGAAGGGTGAAGAGAGATGCCCGTTTTCAATGAGATAGCGATCTGTGTCAAGGGACGTTGACAGAAATTCAGAACCGCCACAGCTGAAAAGAGTGTCATCTGAAGTGGCAGGAGCCAGGCCAATGTTGGCTGAGTCAAGGTTGTGGGTGACTGGGACAGGAACATCTTCGACACCTCCGCCGACATGTGACACTGCAGGTCGGACAACATCGCAGCAGGACGTTGTGTCAGGTCGGGAGAGGTGTTTTCAGACTGTTCCAGGGTTGTCTCGTTGGCCGGCTCCTGTTGGAGGGTCTCTTCAGATTCTTCGGGGACGGGTGATAGACAGGGGGATAGTGCCATTGGGTCGACTGTGGCGTTGGGAGATACCATGGTCTCCGCTGGCTGGTGTGTGGTTTGGGGGCTGAAGAGCTCCTGGGACAGAGGGGGAAGACCATTGGCCTTTCGCATCTGTGCAAGCTCATCCATGAGCCTGGCGTTCATCTGCTCAGCCTGTTGGATGGCAGCCTCGAGGTCCTTGTTCCTCTTCTCGAGCTGCTCAACCTCCTGCCTCTTGCGTTCACGAGACGACTGGGCCGCGCGACGGTTCCGTAGAACGCGCTCAACTCGGCGTTGCTCCTTTTCATCAGCGGTCTTGGCTCGCTTTCTGCATGGGGAGTTAGTGGAACCGTTGGTGACATCATCTTCAGCTGTCGTTGGTTCATACCTAGGAGGGAGGTTTGTCTTGGGCTCGGGAAGGACTTGGCCCCATGACTTTCTCTTCTTGGTTGTCTTCTTCTCAGGGGCTGGAGAAGGGGATGGTGTTGACACAACGCCCTCCTCCTGCTTAATCATTGGTAGTAGAGAGTCATCGTTGTATGACTTTGGTGTCAACATGTCCATGGGGTTCACTGTTGAGGCTGCGCTAGGGGTGGTAGCGGCGAAGAGTGATGTGTAGGCGTCTTCAGGAGCTGACATGAGAGAGTCGGCTGGAGACTGGAAGAATTGGGAAGCTGGTGACCCTTGTTGCTCCATGATTGTGTTTGTTTGTGTGTGATTAGGTGATGTGTGGTTTGTTTGAATGGAGAATCTGGAGTTCAGATACAGCAACGGATATTATGGGGATAAGTAGCTGTTATTAGAGATGTATGAGGCGCAGGCAGCGATGTTCCACCATCACAAGACTTGGCCAAAGTGTGAGTCAGTGACTAGACCTTGATTACGTCTGCCTTGATCAACTATGAGTCAGGTCAGGTGATGGTTGGAAAGGAGCTTCAAGAGGAATAAGGACAGCGTGTTCACTCTGTATTAGCGACCTTGATTTGCTGGGTGCTTGTCGATTTGGGGATGGAAAGGACAGCTTGGTAGGAGCGGACAGGCCCTCTTTATCTCTTGAGGACACGTTGAGAGTTTGGAGGGGCACGGCTCGGTAGATGCAACTGCCTGAGGCACCAACCCCTGAGATGGGGTACCAAGACCACCCCCTGAACTCGTTTTGGGAGCCCAAAGAGGGAAGGTGCTCTCGGATAGGACCCTTCTGGTGCCGGGGAGCCCCTCCTGGAACAGGCTCAGGCTTTCAGGGGGCGCAAGTTACGCCACCGAGCGACACGCACCTCGACTGCAGGGGGGCTTAGGAATCTCCCCCACAGCGCATGCCGCAGGTCTCATTGGCGGAATACCATCTGACACAGCGCTGTCCGGGCCTGTACGGAGCCCCATCGGCCGTTCGAGTTTCCAAAAAAAGGGGGTTGATCAATCGGAGGCCGTGAGACCTTTTGGTTTGGTTCAGTCCGCCCGTTAGTATTAGGTAGCTACAGCAGTTGACGGGCCTGCGGTGCCAGAAACGCCGTTCTTCCTTTGTTCAGTAGGTGCCGGACCTTGTAGCTCCTTGTGCCTCATTTTGAGGATGGCGCGATGATCCATTTGCCGAGAGACTGTACTCGGTACATACTCGTGGAGGGTACACGAGAATAATGATCAATAGCCAACTCAAAAGCTGATGAGGCTCGTGTAACAAACAACAACAAACCCCGTGTTGGTGGCTTTTAATTTTAGAGAACGAGAGAGAGAGAGGCAATAATGCATGCGTAAGATAAGCCCAAAAACTGCCGATTCTCTTGAATACGCTCCGGCCATTTCTCCCTGTGGATGGTGCAGCCCGTGCATTCCCATGGAGGAGAAAAGGCTATTGAAATGTCGTGATCCCCTCTTCTTGGTAACAACCACTGATATGGATCTACACCATCAACTCGACAAGAGGCTTGCATCAACTCTATTCTGTAAGGAGCTCCATAGTATTCACACCTTACAGAGTTTAGCATGGCCCTATAGCATGTTTGTTTGTTTTTCCCAAGGCGCCTTATTCTGCACAATGACGAGATCTCAAAGAATGGATACTCGAAAGGAAAATGGGCGAAGGAGGTCGAAGGAATGGATCCGGCAACACACAATTCTAGGTGCCTCCTACTGTAATTCCTCTGCCTAGCGCTCACGATATGGAGAAGTCCTAGGCTTTTACCTTAAG